CCCCCTATTTATTTAAAATTGCAAAAGCCAATAGCAGGCTGGCTATTGCACCCGCCCACTGAGCAGAGAATGCTGTAATGTCTGAGGAGCATTGGTGACCTGGCTCCTGGGGGTTTACCCAGCTAACATGTACCTGGTAGAGAACCAAGTAGTGAGGAGGCCTCCTTTGCAACTCTTGTCCTGCACCCCTGAGAGTGGTGACAGGGAGTCAGAGGACAGAGAGTAGCACCGGAGGACAGAGGGTGCAGGGCACTGTGCCTGGGTGAGTCCGAAGCTGGTCTCCAAGGAAGCAGGTGTAGATGTAGCTGGGAAGACCACCAGGAACATGGCTGGAGCAGGATGAGGGCAGGCAGGCCAGGGTCAACACCGATTGGGCAGCGAAGTACAAGGCGGCAGGCAGAAGAGTAGCAGAGGAGCAAGCAGAGGTCAAGGGCGGCAGCAGTCAGACGTAGTCAAGGAGATCCGGGTCAGGCAGCAGAATACTGGACCAGGCAGAGGCACAGGAACACACACACAGGAGCTGAAAGGACCATCCACCAATGTTCCATAGGACTGGCAAGTTTAAATAGGGCCATCAATCCAGAGAAGCTGCATCACTTCCTGCGCGCCACGTTAGCACGTTTCCGCGCGCACGCACGTTGAGCGCGCATGCGCAATGGCGCCCAATACCCACAAATGCGGAAGACAGGCGTACGCACATGCGCAGAAAGCATCCGCACGGCCTGGTATAGTCTTACACCAGCCCTGTTTTAGACTGATTCAGTAATGAATCCCTTTGTCCCACCAGGTCGTAAGGATGTGACACTGAGGAAACTGGATATCAAGGTGGAGACGGTGAATCGGGAACCTCTAACCATGCACCCAGACAGAGAGGAGGACGCCTCCAGCATTTCCACCGCAACAAGGGTCATGAAGGCTATCTACGAAGTGAGTAGACTTTGTGTGACACGACAGAGGACATCACATAAAGTGCAAAGTTAAAAATCCCATATTCCTATGCTTCCTATGTTTTATTTATCCAAAAGTTATCCATCACGGTTGCCTCAGAAATGTTTTGATCTTGCGTTTTGTACAGTGAAGAGCCCTTCTTGCCTCTGTCCACCATAGTCAACATTGCCACCAAGGTCACCTTTAGTCTAACCAACACCAGAGGCGGATGACAGACAGAAACCATATTCTTCACGTTGTTAATATTCAGGTTTGACTTGGGGCGCCGATTTAAAAACAATTTGTTGGGCTGTTGCCCCGTGAATATCTGTACGTGTATGCACGGGGGCGGATTTCCCACAAGGCCAAACCAAGACCTGGCCTTGGGGCGGCAGAGAGAGTAAATCTGACCCTTTGTATGCCCAAGCAAATGTTCTTTAGTTTTTTTTTCCTTTACAACTGTGAGTAAATGTGAATGTTCTGATTGTAATATCACGTTATGACCATTGGGTGGTGCTAAAGGAGCCTAGGAAATAAGTATTGATTTTCTATGTTCCTCAGCTCCACCTAGTGGCCATAATGTTGTATAACACTCAGAACATTCAAATGTAATTACACTTGTAAATGAAAGAAGGTTTCATTGTGTATAGACTTGCACTGGATGAACGTTCAGAGATATTCCAGGGCAAACGATCCTGCGAATGGTTTATAAGTCAACCCCTTTATTGTTCTCCTATCCAATTCTAGCTTTGTATGGTGCAATACCCAAACCCCCATACTGGATATATATTGTATCTGTTTATTAAACTGTTTGGAGTTCAGCTTAACACCAAAGGATCAGCAAATGTCTGATCAACCATGGCCAGGAAATGTATCTATGGACCAGAACTCCAGGAACTAGGTAGTTGCAAGATATCAGTTGGCCTTTGCCTTGTGGTGGAGGGAGGTATGAGGTATGAGATAGGGGGAAGATATCTCACACATGAGCACAGTTTCCTTTCTTGAGGAATTTATTTTTAAAGGCATGCACAATATAGTATTGATCATGTGATGGGAGCCACAGATTTTTTGGGGTGGCTGACCTTAAAGTAGTATCTGGGCGTTTTTTTACCTTATTGCATTCTCTGCATTCCAGTAAAAACCGCCCCAAGAACCTTTTTCTCTCCCCCCCACCCCCACACACACGCACACTTACCTGTCAGCGACGAAGTGATCCTCCGTTCCCCCTACTTCATGGTTGCAGGGGGAGGATACTGATGGCTAAGGAGCCAAAGGCTCCTTCTGCCATCAATCAAAGAGAGAAGGGGAGTGGCCTGCCACAGGGCTGTGTGTGTCTATGGACGCACGGGTGCCCAGGGCCGGATTTACTCTCTCTGCTGCCCCAGGGCCAAGTTACTCAATGCGCCCCCTACCCGCCAAACCCCCATGGAGAATGGCAGACTTAGAGCTGCTTATAAGTGATCTCGGTGACATTGCCCGGATCACTTGTACAAAACAAGCCGCGGCTTCCCCGCTCTACATTTAGCTCTGCTTGCCCAAAGTCGGGCTAAATGTAGAAAACAACTACACGCCCGGTGCCTGGAACTGCATGTCCTGGGCATCGGGAGATAGGAATTCCACACCCCTGCTGCCCCTCTACTCCCTGCTGCCCCAAAGCCGGGCCTTGGTTGTCCTTGTTGGGAAATCCGGCCCTGCGGGTGCCTCTATTAGAACGATTAGAAAAACAACAACAGCCTCCGGCAAAGGTGGGCATCCCTATAGCAAATATATATATTTAAAAAAAGGAGGGTTTAATATCGCTTTAATGATGAAATAAAACGTGTCTCAAAATGTTCTCCTTGTTCTCAGTCTTTTAAAGATGACGTGGACCTCAAACAAGACCTCCGTTGTGACACCATCGACCGAGAGGAGTACGAGCTCAAGGTGCGGCACCCATCTGTATTCAACCAATACAAATAAAAAACTCTAAGACTGGGCAAAGCGCAGGATCTAGAGTTACCGCAAGTCCCCGTGTGGGGGGGGACACAGCACGGTGTAGCACCGACCCAATGATGCTGACTAATAGCCTACTCGGCATCATCTAAGTCACCAAATTCCAACCGTATTCCCGACTCGCACCCTGTCTTAAGCACGAACGAGTTGTCTGGCATGCAGGATAATCCAAGTCATGTGTAATATTAGTGTGATGTGTAAATGGTTATACGAGACTCTTATCTATTTATTATCTCTTTTGTCTTTCTCTGTCTCTTATGAATATGGGGTGAAGCAAACATTACTATACAGTTGCATACCTTTTAGAGATTTGAGAACAATGTTGGGAATGTGATGTATAAACTGTCTGATGAAGATGGTCCAGAACCCCCAGTTACACTTCTGTGAAGTTTAGGGGAGATGGTGGCAACAGATTGTTGCAGAGGACAGAGTTGGGCGCGCCAGATATGGGACACGGAGTCACTTGGCCCGGTGGTGTAGGAAGCCGCATTCGAACGTGGCCCACTATCCGGTGGAGACTTGTTAATGTGATGGATTTCCAACTGGACAGACATCAGAAGAATTCAGCGTAGTGTGCCATTACTTGGATGGTTCCTCCAAACGGATAGAGATGGTCTTCATGCTTTACCAAAGCTTCCCGTGGATGTACAAAAATATTGAAACGAACATATTGGGCTAACTCTGGTGCTCTTGAATGTAATTTCGGCTTTGCTCCTGTGGACTTTATTTATTTTTTTATTGATGAGGACTAGTCAAATGCTACAGATGGACCAGACTTTGACATAACCTTAGCCTTCTGTTTCCAATATCATGTAACCATCAGTGCCAATACGAGGGGGGTCATCAAAGTTACACCCGCTGAATGTACAAAACGTATTTTTCGTAAGCAAAGGGCTCTGAGAATGCATTGGAGGGACCCACAGACACATTGTTTTGACAGAGTTGGTATGGTCATACAAATGAGAGTCAATATTCTAATGTCTGTGAAGGTTCTCATTCACCCAGGTCATGGTATATCTGTAAAAAAAAAATAAGTCAAGGCAACTGGACTTGCTCAATATTCTAATGTTATCCTCAACTGTATCCAGACTGGTGCTTGGTTCAAGAGAGAGGTAGTCTTGTTGGTAGATATCACAACCCTTTGCTCTATCCCTTCGCAGCTTTGATGGCCAGACCTCACAACCATCACTTATTTTTTTGTAACTCTGTGATTGATAAACATCAGCCACAAGCCGCCATGTTAAATAAGATATGTTTTCGTGTATGCCTGTAGTCGAAAAAACATTTTCACTTGACTCTCTTAATAAATGTATGCACCTGTATAGTGACTTTTGCTTCACTGTTGTATTTAAATGTGCATGCCTTGTACGGCCAAACGTTTGTGGACACCTGACCATCACACCTATATCAGCTTGTTGTACATCCCATTCCAAAACCTTGCGAATTAATATGAAGTCCACCCTCTCTCTTTTGCAGCTATAACAGCCTCCACTCTTCTGGGGTGGCTATCCAGAAGGTTGTAGAGTGCGTTTGTAGGTACTGGGGCCCCTTTAGCAAAAAGATGTGAAGACCTGGCTCTCACATGGTATTGCAATTCGTCCCAAACTGATGTTGGATGAGAAGACTTGGTTAGCAATGGGCTTTCCAATTCATCCCAAAGGTGTTCAGTAGGGTTGAGGTCAGGGCTCTGTGTAGGACACTCAAGTTCCTCCACACCAAACTGGTCAAACCATGTCTTTATGAAGCTGGCTTTGTACACAGGGGACAGTCATGGTGGAAGAGAAAGGGGCCTTCACTATATAGGGTTGAGGTCAGGGCTCAGTGTAGGCCCCTCAAGTTCCTCCACACCCTACTGGTCCAACCATGTCTTTATGGAGCTGGCTTTGTACACAGGGGACAGTCATGGTGGAAGAGAAAGGGGCCTTCACTATATAGGGTTGAGGTCAGGGCTCAGTGTAGGCCCCTCAAGTTCCTCCACACCCTACTGGTCCAACCATGTCTTTATGGAGCTGGCTTTGTACACAGGGGACAGTCATGGTGGAAGAGAAAGGGGCCTTCACTATATAGGGTTGAGGTCAGGGCTCAGTGTAGGCCCCTCAAGTTCCTCCACACCCTACTGGTCCAACCATGTCTTTATGGAGCTGGCTTTGTACACAGGGGACAGTCATGGTGGAATAGAAAAGGGTCTTCACCAAATTGGTCAAAACATGTCTTTATGGAGCTGGGTTTGTACACAGGGGACAGTCATGGTGGAACAGGGAAGGTTGGAAGCCCACAATTGCCTAAAATGTCTTTGTGTGTTGCAGCATTAACAGTCTAATTTTACGGAAATACCCAAACCCAAAAAATTGGAGGGTTGTCCACATTCTTTTGTTTGGCCATATAGGTAGGTGTGATGGTCAGGTGTACACAAACTTAGGGACATACAGTGTAAACCTTTAAACATATAGATCAGAAGTCAATATGTTCTTCATATGATAGGACAGATTCCACTAGTGTATTTTTCTTTCCTTATCGTTTCTTTCTAATTCTATGATCATTCTTCCATCTCCATCACTGTCTGCCATTGATCATACTCCTCTTCTTCCCTAGGATCCAACCAACGGCTATTACAATGTCCGAGCTCACGACGACAGGCCGACCTCCCGATCTGTGTTGTACGCAGAGTACCGTAATCCTGGACCGGCGCGGTTTGATGCTCGCCCTTCTTCTCGTCTCTCCCACTCCAGCGGCTATGCCCAGCTGAACACCTATAGCCGGGCTCCTACTTCAGATTATAGTACAGACCCTACTCCCACCGTCACATCCGCCACTACAGATACCACCAGTCAACTGTCCTACGATAACTACGAAAAGTTTGGGACACACGCTTTCTCAACCAACCCTGGCTACCCCACTTACAGGCTTGGTTACATGCAGCCAACCACCTCAGGTATGGATCGAGGACCTTACGATACTTTTGACCCGGTTGGGAAGTTCGCAGGAGCCACCCGTTTCTCATACACATCCCAGCATTCCGACTATGGACAGAGGTTTCAACAAAGGATGCAGACGCATGTCTGAGGACTGACTGAAAGCGAAAACCAGTGGGCAAAGTCAGCGGGGGGATGCCCTTCAGTTACGCCCTCTCTGATACAATATCAAATCACGAGACAGGACTCTTGGAGGCGAACCAACCTCTTACCGTGTCTTCTGATACTCAGGGACCTTATTGTCTTGATCTCAGAAGTCCCCAAGAAAACAGCTGAAGTTGCCCCGCCAGGCAGAGCCTCGAGGTTTTGATACAGAATAAGATGCCAAAACAGAAAGCTGGCCTTTTAGCACCTGACCATTCCTTGAAAAACCACTGACTGCCATCCGGTGTATGGCAAACGCTTTGACTTAGACGACAGCTCGGTACTGGTGAAGCTTTTCACTCGGCCAAAAAGTTCCTTGAATCACTTTGGTCTTTCTCATGCAAACTCATTTCTGGTTTTTAGCCATCTCCCTAACTGCCAGGAATGCCATGCCATCACAGAGGAGAGGCATTTGGTCTTGCCATTGCAAGGTCTTTTGTAGGTCTACATTCCAGCTGTTGGAATGGAGGAGAAGAAGGGGAAAATGCTGATTCCACGATTGGCCACCAACACTTCTTTCGTCCAGTAGCCTTCACCATCCCGGCATTTTGAACGGCAGCTGTTGGCGAGTGGAGTGGCAAGGATTTTGGACAATCAGAATAATTAATATGGGAACATTTTGAAGGTCGACTTATATATATTCCACTTTGGGGATACTGATGTTCATCCTGCTTCAGGAACACATGGTCTAGAATCACTACCAAGTGCTTTGCTGTAACGCGCCTACCTGCCCGCCCGTCGGAGAACGGGTAACAGTGTGCGAGATGACAGAGCACTCCTTCACCCCCTGTTTGTATTGTACGTGTACTTTACGAAGATCTCTGTGAGGAGACATATATACCATTTTTATAGTTATTTTACATTATATTCTTGCTGCATATTTTTGCACATTATTTTTTTGGCTTTTTTATTTGTAACTCGACCTTGACCCTTGTCTTAAATAGAGGTATCATAATGGGCAGAGAGAATAACTAGTTTCACATTTCCAGAAACTCAAGCATTCCTTTTGTGGCTGAGAACAATAATGACGGACAAGTGGTCCAAGATCTTGGTGGCTTGAATGGTGGTACATTATATATGGCCAAAAGTATGTGGAAACCCCTGAGTTCAGGTGCACAAAGGTCTCTCCATAAGGATATGGTTTAATGGGTTATCATGGAGGAACTCTTGTGTCCTACACAGAGCCCTGACCTCAAGCCTACTGAAAACCTTTGGGTTGAACTGGAACCAGGTCTTCTCCTCCAACATCAGTACCAGGCTTGACAAATGCTCTTTTGAATGAGTGGCCACAAATTCCCACAGATACACTCCAAAATCATGAGAAAAAGCCTTCATGAAGGTGTGTAGGTTGTTAATTCCATATTATTGGCCATGGGTTTTGGAATGATAATGTCCAAAACACTCATATCATTCCAAAACCCATGGCCAATGGTTTTTGGAATGTGATGGACAGGTCTCCACAAACGTCTGGCCATATAGTGCTAATGCTAATCAATATAACGCTTGGGCGGATCTTGATGGTAGAACTCTGATAGCATAGTACATTTGACTATTCAGAGCCAGGAGTTGATACATATAAGTTGGAGAATGAAAGATGAGTTTGTACCGGCCAGCTAAAGATATGGAGTCCAACGTCAACATGAGAACATCAGTAGGTCCTACTATGCTCATGGTAAAAAGGCTGAAAAGTCTACTCTACATAGATTGTCCAGACTCGTGGACCTTTCCACTCAAATATTTACTTAACACACTGTATTTTAATCCAGAATGCCAAACGCTACTGTTATAAGGTAGGTTCCTCCAGATTGATTGAAGGCCAAACCATACATTTTTGGAGAGAACCCATATTGTAATCTGTTTTGTTTCCATCTCATGCTTCCACATCGCAACTCATCAATCCATTTTTTTCTTTTATTGTTGAGAAGACGTAGGAGACGGTAGGAGTGGCGACATTGCCCGTCAATGACCCTGAACAACTTGTGTTTTTCCACAACACAGTTGGTCCTTTCTTATGGTCGGTGTATCATGATACTTAAAGTTGAACTCCAGGCAAGTCCCAATGAAAGACTCTGACAGCCACAGGCATGACTCCCAGAGGCATGGCGGGATTTGTTCTTCTACCACAACTGGAGTGCCGTGGTTGCCTACCCCTGTAATAATAATGAATATAAAAAACTGTATTAACATGCATCTTTTATATCTGCCCGGAGTTCAGCTTTGCATATGAAGCATAGACCGAGGGGTATTGATATAATTTCTTTGCAGTTAGTAGAGCACACAGGCCAACCAACCTTGGTGTTTGCTGTGAGCAAAGGCAAATGTTGGGACATGGCACTAATGTATTTCATAGCTGTTTCATATGCCAGGAAGATGCTCGCTCTGAGCATTTCCACTCTTTCTAGATGGGGCTATAAAATTAGGGATGTGTGCTAAGGGAGTATGTGTGGGCATTTTTATAGCATATTCAAGCATTATCGCTCCTTATTGTAGGAAACATTCGGAAATGCTTGTTACAAGCCCTTTCAATGGCCAAATATGCTTCAAGAGGTTTAAAAAATGCTTCCAAAAAGCTATGAAAATGCAAATGCCTGACGTCTCCAACTGCCGCCTTAACATTCTCTCCAATAGCCACATCAGGAGGTATAAGGACCTCCCTCCTATATGAGGTGGACAGTAGGGTCACTAGAACTACTTTTCCCTTAACATCTTGCCCAATAGCCTTTTCAAGAGGTATAAGGGACTCCCTCTAAAGTGAGGTGGTCAGCAGAACTAGTGTCCCCATTGGGGAGATTTCCCTTAGCAACCTGTCCAACAGTCACATCAGGGAGTATAAGGGACTCCCTCCAAAGTGAGGTGGTCAGCAGGGTCACCAGAACTTCTACCCCCCCGGGGAGATTTCCCTTAACATTCTGTCCAATAGCCACATCAGGAGGTATAAGGACCTCCCTCCAATATGAGGTGGACAGTAGGGTCACCAGAACTAGTTTACCCTTAACATCTTGTCCAATAGCCTTATCAAGAGGTATAAGGGACTCCCTCTAAAGTGAGGTGGTCAGCAGGGTCACCAGAACTTCTACCCCCCCGGGGAGATTTCCCTTAACATTCTGTCCAATAGCCACATCAGGAGGTATAAGGACCTCCCTCCAATATGAGGTGGACAGTAGGGTCACCAGAACTAGTTTACCCTTAACATCTTGTCCAATAGCCTTATCAAGAGGTATAAGGGACTCCCTCTAAAGTGAGGTGGTCAGCAGGGTCACCAGAACTTCTACCCCCCCGGGGAGATTTCCCTTAACATTCTGTCCAATAGCCACATCAGGAGGTATAAGGACCTCCCTCCAATATGAGGTGGACAGTAGGGTCACCAGAACTAGTTTACCCTTAACATCTTGTCCAATAGCCTTATCAAGAGGTATAAGGGACTCCCTCTAAAGTGAGGTGGTCAGCAGGGTCACCAGAACTAGTGTCCTCATTGGGGAGATTATTCATCATTTCCTGTGCTATAATACAAAAGGGAAATCTTTTTGAAGTGAGGGAAATTCCCCTTTTTGCGTTACAATTTCCTATCTATTCCATTTCTGGTGGCAACTCGAAACTTTGGATTTTCCCTCACAGTGGTCACCAGGATCAATAGAAAGAGTAGATCTTCCCAACGAGAACATAGACCATCACGACGGGGGTTCTAATCCCTCAACGCTCCATCTAAAATTTTCAAAAAGTTCTGCCTTTAGATATGTTTCGATCTCGTGTTTCTTTCCCAAAGGAGACCCAGATGATGGAACCTGAGTTACCTATTCCGGTTCATAAGCGGCTTCATTAAAAAAAATCTGTACGACCCCCTTTAATCTGCAGAAAATCTGTTTAAAATGTATAGTTTTTTTTTTTTTTTTATATACAATGATTTAAACCAAATTTCTCCTCGTACGATATCTGTTCCTTTTGCAAACAGATGATCGTAGGCAATCATTTTTGTACAGTACGTGTGTAAATATACATATATATTTTTTATATAATATCTTTAAAACGTGAAACGCATACACGAGTGACATTATCAGTATTATATTTTTTTGGGGGGGGGGTTTTCCCCCGTCACTATTTTTTTTTTTTTTTCTTGACGTTTCTTGAGACTTTTTTTTTTTTTAAATCAAGAAGAAATCTCTTATCTCGTCCTGATATTAAGTCCCTTCTAGTCGGGCAAATGTGAGGGCGACGCATTCCGCGGCTGGCCGTAGACATTCCACAATCGTTGTTTTTTTTACAAAAATCAATTTCATTGATGAATAAGGTCCTTTGTACCAAATGCAGACGCTGCTTGGCGCATGTCATGGGTTGGAGAATAGGTTGTCCGCACGGGGGATGGGTTTCATTCTGACACAATGTAAGAACGAACCACATTCTTCTAGTTTTAGAATTCTATGTAAACTTTTTTTCCATTTTTCCATCAGCTGACCATCCTTATCTTAGAATTGGACACTGACTATGTACACAGTAAGTTTTAACACCTACTATACTATACATTTTAACGCCTACTATACTATATGGGCAAACGTATGTGGACACCCCCTAATCTATAGAGTTCAGCCATTTCTAGTGAGGGGTCCTGTTAATTCTACATCGTACAAAGACATTGTAGACAATTGTGCTCTTCTAACCTTGTGGTAACAGTTTGGTGAAGGCCCTTTTCTGTTCCACCATAACTGTCCCCTGTGTACAAAGACAGCTCCATAAAGACATGGTTTGACCAGTAGGGCGTGGAGGAACTTGAGGGCCTACACTGAGCCCTGACCTCAACCCTAGATAGTGAAGGTCCTTTTCTGTTCCACCATGACTGCCCTCTGTGTACAAAGACAGCTCCATAAAGACATGATTGGACCAGTAGGGTGTGGAGCAACCTGTGGGGCCTACACTGAGCCCTGACCTCAACCCTAGATAGTGAAGGTCCTTTTCATTTCCACCATGACTGCCCTCTGTGTACAAAGCCAGCCCCATAAAGACAAGGTGTGGCCAGCTTGGTGTGGAGGAACTTAAGTGTCCTGCACAGAGCCCTGACCTCAACCCTACTGAACACCTTTGGGATGAACTGGAACCAGACATTGAGCTAGGTCCTCTCACCCACTTTGGTTTTAAGAGTTTGGTGTGGAGGAGGTCTTCTCATTCAACATCATTACCTGACTTCACACATGCTCTTTTGAGATATTGGGCACAAATTTCCACTGACACCAGACTGCTATAGCTAAACAGGGGGCAACTCCATATTGATGTCCAAGATTTTGGAATGATTTGTCCAACAAGCTCACAGAGATGTGAGCTACACTCCAAAAACTTTCTAGAATAGTGGAGGCCATTAGAGCTGCAAAAAGAAGGTAACTCCATATTAATGCCCATGCTTTTGGAGTCAATGTGATGGTCATGTGCCCACAAACGTTTGGCCATATAGTGTATACCTTTGAATATTGGACAATGGAAAGTTCAAAGGTCAGCTCCATGGAAATCCAGCATTTAGGGTCAGTGTGTTGTTGGGGGAAGGTAGCCATAGGGGCGTTAGTTAAGGAAAACCTGAGAATATGTAGGCTTTCAATTGCGGTTGCCTGATTGTCATTTTGGGCCTCGGCCTCAATATTTTGGTTCACCAACCCAGAACAAGTATGCAGGTAGGCTCGTGCCTTGTCCCTGACCTTCCTGGTCTACATACCTGTCCCAGGTCAGTGAATGAGAAAGTATTAAAGCCAACCAGGCAGGACGTCAACAAAGGCAGCCCCCGTTTCTCTCTTAAGACATGTTTAGCTTAATTTCA